AAAATTCTTCTGCTCAAAAATACCACCACCCCACTCAACGGTCTATTATTATAGTATATATTTTTCTCCTTGGAGTTATGATTTTTTTTCTTCCTGTGGTACTTCTACCTAAAAAAAATTACTTCAGGGGAGGGTGTACAAAGTTGCCATTAACCCTTTGCAGAAGAAGAGAACTGAAGGAAGTAGGAAGGGACATGGCCAACTACAGGCAGCTTTGGTATCTAACACCTAAAAATTGGGTGAATTGGGCACATGACATGATTCTCTATTTAGGAGAACGAAAAGACTCAGTCAAGAGACTACTGTATCTCATAAGAGATTTTGGCAGGGTAGCATGATACAAAATTAATGAGCACAAATTGATGGTGCTAGTATACACATGTAAATCCATGGCTGAGAAATAAATCCTAAATATAGTCCCCTTTAAAATAGTGGAGAGGAATCTTAAATATTTAGGAATTAATCTAATCAAATAAGTGGAGTATTTCTACGATGAAAACTATAAAACATTTTAAAAAGAAATACAAACAAACATTTAAAGATGGAGAAACTTGCCATGTTTTCCTGGATCCACGGAATCATCATCATTAGAATGTCTATATTAACAAAAGTAAAATACAAATTCAATACGGTCCCAATCAAAATTCCACACTATTCTTCTAAGAAATAGAAAAGACAATATAAAAGCTCATCTGGAAACACAAGAGACCATAAACAGACAAAGCTATCCTGAAGAATAAAAAAATCAAGCTGGAGGAATCACAATTCCAGACCTCAAGACATACCACAGAGCAGTGGTCATCAAAACAGTCTGGTACTGGTACAGAAACAGAGATCAATGCAACAGAATAGAAACATCAGAATGGAGCCCACACATGTATAACCAACTAATCTTTGTCAAGAAACCGAAAACAATTCAGGGAAAAATCTGGTCTCTTCAACAAATGCAGTTGGGAAGATTGGACAGCAGCCTACAGAAGTAAGAAACAAGATCCCCATCTGTCACCTTACACAAAAATCAGCTCTCAATGGATCAGGGACCTCAATCTGCAGCCAGAAGCCACGAAACTATCAGAGGAAAACATAGGAAGCACTCTCCAAGATATAGGAATGGAGAAAGATTTCTTGAAAAAAGATACCAAAAGTACAGATAGTCAATGTCAAAATAAGCAGATGGGATTACATCAAGCTAAAAATCTTCTGTACAGCAATGGAAACAACTAACAAAATGAAGAAGCAACCAATGGAATGGGAAAAAAAAAATCTTTGCATACTACACAACTGATAGGGGACTAATACCCAGGATTTACAAAGAGTTTCAGAAACCCAGTGACAGAAAAACACTACAACCATGTGAAGAAATAGGTGAAGGAAACGAAAAGCCATTTTTCAAAAGAACAAATTCAAGTGGCTAATAGACACATGAAAAGATGCTTAGGCTCCCCAGAAGTCAGGGAGATCCAAATGAAAACCACACTGAGGTTCCACCTAACTCCAGCAAGGTTGGACTACATCCAAAACTCTACTAATTACACCTGCTGGCACGGATGTAGGGAGAAAGGTACACTCCTTCACTGCTGCTGGGAGTGTAGGCTAGAATAACTACTGTAGAAATCAGTAAAAAGAGGGCTTAGAGAACTACAACAGTATCTGCTATATGACCCAGCTATCCCGTTCCTAGGAATATATCCAAAGGAAATGAAACTTGCATATGAGAAAGTGATCTGTAATCCCATAATTTACAGCAGCACAATAGCAAAACCATGGAAACAACCCAGATGCCTGTCCAAAGAGGAGTGGATAAAGAAACTGGTACATCTACCTCATGAAATATGACTCAGCCATTAAAAAGAATAAAATTCTACCATTTGTGACCAAATGGTCCCAACTAGAGGCCATTACGCTTATTGAAATAAGTCAATCCCCAAAGGACAACTACCATATGTTCTCTCTGATACAAGGTAAACTTCATGCAAATTATAAGATCAACTGCCTTTTCAATACTGTTTTTGCTGCAACTTGTGATTTTGATGTTTGCTTTTATTTTCATTTCTTCAAAATTTCTTTCCTTTTGTTAAATTCTTCACTGACTCATATGTAGATCATTTTCTCTAAGGTTTTTTTGTATTCATTTTCATTTCTTTATCAGCACATTGGTGATTCAGTAGCATGTTATTTAACTACATAGTGTTGTAATTTTTTTTTTACTTTATTCCTATTGTTGATTTTATTTTATAGCTTTTCATTTAAGGGGATGTATAGTAACTATGTAATAGAGACTATCCTATTCAGATGTGAAAATACAATACAGTATGCATCTCTATTTCCAAATCAAAGATGGACTCCCAATGAAACTGTTAGAAATATCTTGACAATAGGAAGCTGGGCTTTCTGCCATTGTCTATATCTGCATTGTCAGGCTACAATTAAATAGCAGAATGATGGACTTATGGCTACTTATGAAGGAATATACTATTGTAATAATATGCGGGAACTCAATTGTGGGGAGGGAATTTGGAAAGGGAATAGAGGAAGTCCTAAATATTTTTTGTATTATATTTTATTGTGTTTTGTATCATGACATTTTTGCATCATAAAATTAAAAATAAAATAAGTAGTAAAAAAAATTGGGTGAATTAGAACGAAGCAACGAATCATGCTGAGTCAAGATTACACATGACTGGGTTAAAATCTTTCATTAGTAGGGCTGGCCTTCTGGTAGCCTTGGCCCAAGGCATCCCATATGAGCACTGGTGCAAATCCTGCAAATTCTGATTCTGATCCAGTTCGCTAACAACCTGCCTTGTATGACAACAGAAGATGCCCAAAACCTGGGCCCTTACCAGCCATATTAGAGATCCAGGGAGAGTCCCAGGCTCCTGGCTTCTGCCTGGCCCAGCTCTGGCCATTCAATGATTTGGGCAATGAATCAGTACATGGAAGATTCTCTTCCTCTCCCCCTCTCTCTTTCTCTCTCTAGCTCTCCTTGTTACTCTTTCAAACAAACAAATATTAAAAAAATTATGTATTGGCTACTTGTTAAAATGCCACAAAATCATGAATGAGTGGTGAGCAGTGGGAGTAGTCTTGTAAAACACTATTCAAGATTTAGCAACTGTATTCTTGTTTATAAAGAGCCCTGCTCTGCCAGTATCCTGCTGTAGTCCTTCACGTCATCTATGTTGCTGTTAAACTCTCCAGATTTGTTCCTGACACAAAGCCTTTTGCTAGTTCTTCCTTCTGTCTCAGAATACATCCTTCTGCCCTGGGTCCACTTCTGTATTCAGGACAGTCACACAGACAGACACTTAGAAATGAAACTTGAGTGTACTGGAAATACGAACACTCAAGCCCACTGCATCAGACTCCACTGCTGAATCAGAATGTCTAGGCAGCAGTCCAGGACCTGGATTTCATGACTTCCCCAGGAAGTTCTGATCAAAGTCCAAGTTATGAAAACCAGTGGATAAGAACAAACTATTCAATATTCTAATTTTGCAGCAGTTTCGATATTACTTATGATATTCCAGTGCACAAATGACATTAGATATAGAAGAGTTCCTGAAAGTTACTTGCCAATTTTCTTTTAGATGTCCCTTTGCCTCTCAAAGAAATAAAAATTTAAATAAGAAAAATAATAAAAATAAAATGCAAATTCTTTCCAATATCAGCTTCATTGAGATATGCCCCCAAACTATTTTATTTGGTTATTAGAGAAGCATCAGACTCCTCTTACAACAGAGAAGCATGCTCAATAATGGACTTACTGCTTAATTAGTACAGTTGGTTAATTGGTCAGTTTCTATTATGCATTAATCAATACTCATTTAAAATGAGAGGCTCCTCCTATGCCTAATGATTTATCTTTTCAAGTATCCATCTCTTGTGTCCTTAACATTCAAGCTTCCTGGAAAAGTCTGAACATTCTATCTGAATATCAAACACACAGTATGAAAGTTAGACTAGACTCATCTTTGCAGAATAGAATCCTTTGTACAATGCTGGAACAGAAGGGACAAGAGTATGAGTGAATGATGTAATCAAATTCCAATTGAGTCGTCTCAGATGATGTCTTATCAACATTTCTCACTCATTATCAGCCAGGCTACTTTTTTGCATCCATTTAAAATGTGTGTAATTTTTCATAGAAACTACAGTAAGCAGAAGAATATGAACTTTATGCTTTTCCTGGACTACAAAACTCTGAAATAACCCATTACTTAACATAATGATACACTTTCAACAATGTTCAACTCCTTAGAGAGTTTTTGAGTTTTTGCCTCAGATTCTATATCATTTTTGCTGCTCTCAAGTCCAGAAGGAACTCAACATGCTTGGATTCTTCTTTGTAGCAACTTGGCCTATCTGAAATGTCTTGTAATCTTTAATGCAATAATTTTTGCAAATATTCATTGTCAAAAGTCTATCAACCATTTTTAAGACAAATTATATTCTACTTTAGGATTCAAATATTTATTTTTGTATTAGTTCTCTGTTAGGCTATAAAACCAAATTTGATTATGCACAAAAGATTCATATATATGTGTTTATAAGTACATACATGTAGATACCTATTTGCAAACACTTCTTGCTTTTGTTCATAATTGTTATTACTAAATTTTACCAATAGATAAATAATAAAAATTTATCTGCTAGATCAGATGCTACCACTAATATTTAAAAGCACAGATGAATAATATTCTCTAAAGACTAGCAAATATTTAAAACTGAAATGCAAATTTCCTATTTTGTTTCTATATTTTACATGTCTGATATTTAAAAATCTCAACCTGAAATTGAGGTTCTTTTACATGGGCTGCAACGTATAAGTAAATGAACACTGTAATCATTGAAGAATAGTGTGGATAATCTGTGAAATAATATAGCTTAGAGCTTAGAGCTTAGATCTTAGAGCTTATAGCATAGAGCTAGCTCGTGAAGATAGAACTCTGCTCCAAACGAAAACGTGCTACTTAAGCCAACCCAGAGTCTTTGCATACCTTCATAGGAGCCAGTTGTATGGGTGTAATGCAGGAAGGATCCACCATGGGCTTCGGTCTGTTGGCAGTGTCCGCTAACAGGCTGTGCCATTGCTGCGGAAGGCCAGTAAACTTCTGTTCTTGTGGATCAAACCCAGTATGCACCCTGTGCTCAAAGTTGGATGGACCAGATATTTCAATCTTTTTCTTTTTCTTCCCAAACATGATGCCAAAACCTAGAAAATGCAAACAGAAAGCAGGCAGCTGTTTATTTTTGTCAGCAGTAGATCATAAGAAATTTACTACTAATTCCTTCAGTTACTTCCCTTAAGCCATTCCCCTATATACCAGTTGCCATGAAAGAAGGTTGGGTTTTTTTTTATGGTGTGTAGATTAGATTCTTTCACTTGAATTTTTTTTTGTTCATTTGAGTTGTGTAGCTTGGTTTCCAAGCAGGGAACTATGATATTGGATTGACCATAGATCCTGAGTTGACCAACAGACACTGGAAGAGAGCAAACCAGTTTGAGTTGGGGAGTTTTGGAGGCATCATGTATTTCTACTTTCTCCCTTGCACACCTGTCGCCTGCTATGAAGATCTCACACGGAGACAACACTTAGCTTCTATTTGAAAAGAGGGAAGCTTGAAGCAGAATACAAACCTGAACAATAAAATCCGAGACTAGTGAAGCCCAACCGAGCCTTTGATAAGACTTAGCAGACTCAAAAGTGAGAAATCAATGTTTGCAATTAAGCACTGAGATTTTTAATGGCTTCTCATGTGGGATTGTGAAAATTAAACTTGATAAGTACATAGAGAGAATCATCTCAAAGTGTGGAAGGCACTCTGAAAACATATGTGAAAACAAAATAAGATGAACATGTACCTGACAAATAAAGTAATAACAAACTTCACCATCTAAAATTACAATTAGGATTCAACAGACACTGTGAAGCATGTACAAAGTCATGCAGGACAAAGTGAGTGCTAGAAGTGTTGACTGCCTTTTAGATAAATCAACAACAAACTTCCCTGGCAATGCCTTTAGAGAAGGAAACCCAGGCAGTGATGCAGGCAATGAGATTTTTGTACTCAAAATTTTGCATAAAGTATTTCACTTCCTTGCAGTGATACAAATTAGCCAACTAGTTAAAACATTTCCAGGAGCCAGGCTACTTCTGGAAAAAATTTAAAATGGGCGAAGTTTATATTATGGTATTGAAAATCTGTAAGATAACCCAAGTTTGGAATTTTGGTAGGGTACCTGTTAGCTGTGCTCTTGGGTAACTGCTTTTTCCTCTTACAGTCTACTTCTTTGTGAACAGGGCAACTGCAATCAATTCGGGGCAATAGCTGAACTGATGATGATGTTTTGGCAAAATCAGACTGGAATTTATGGATCTCTAAGGAGCACTGTGCACTTGTGATTAATTAATTACTTGGAACTCTATGCTGTTTTATTTACTTGGATGTAAGAATCATGAGAGAAAGGATGTTGCCTGTTTGTTCATTACTGTTTGCCAAAGCCTGGCATATGTCATAGCTTGAGAAATATTTGCTTAGAGACTAAACAGCACATTTATTCAGTGCATATCACACTGGGTCAGAGATCCACAGATATTTACATTTTCCTTTACACTCTCCCTTTTTTCTTCTATATCCTTTTTTTCTCCATTAAAATTTCTGTTTGCCCTTTAGCTAGTTATCTCCACCTGCCAAGCAGCCTCCTCTTGTTGCCTTCTTAGTTTATCAAGATCATTTTCCATCCTCTACCTGAATAAACATTCTCTCGAAAAACAAGCATATCATTCGGAAGCTTAACTTCTGAGTCTCCACTGAAATGCACTCTACTCCTGTTACTTTGGGATGACTTGAAGAAATCATGAAAAGCCATAATGAAAAACTAATGCAAGAAGATACATGCCCCAAACACCTGTGATGTGCTGTCTCTTTTGTGAAACACAGCTTTAATTTGAATTTTCAGAAGTTTGTTGTTGTTGTTGTTAAAAGTAGGTAAAGAAATATAGGTCAGTTGATCTGAAGCATTTGCTCTCCTTAACCCCACAGCAAAATGTAAAAACATAAAGTTGCCCAGGTGCCCTTGGGTTGGTCCCTAACATACTGATTTTTTTGTCTTCAGATACGTCATTTTCCATGGCCAGTGGGACAAAAGAAAACATGACAGAGATATATCATATGTGCTTAAGTTGCAGGGCTTGTGCTGTCTCTGTCCTTAAATTCTGCAGATCACACAAGAACACACGCAGGCAAGAGATCTTGCAGCAGGGTCTGAATAGGAACCAGCCACAGGCAGAAGCAGAGCTGCCCAGCAGTTATTCACATGAGTGAGCCCACGTCAACCCTAGCAGAAGACCTACTTGAATGAGCCAGACTTGAAGGTATATACACAAATGCATGATTGTAGCATGAAACTGCTGTATCTGGGAGTAGATTTTGTTTAAAAAATCTAATCAGCTGCATATAGCTTATTGTCATCCCACACCTTGCATTTTCAGATACTCATCGTTTTTCTCTTTGAGTTTTAGCTGCTTTCAAGTTTCAAGTAACGATGTCCAAACTGGGTAATAATGCTGGTTGTCACAAAATTGTGTTAAGGTAAATTTGATTGTGACACTACTAACTGGTTGGTTGAAAGCCTGGAATGCTCTCACTGGTGGGAAATCACCTCCACTATGCCTCTATATGTCATCTCCCACTATTATTTAGTGAACATCAAAAAAAAAAAATGGCTAAAAAATTTTAACCATCTGTTGGTTTAATTCATTTGACATTTTAGTAAATTGTAGCTATCACTATTTAAAAAGGTAAAACTTGTTTCTAAAAAATCATATGAGAAAAGTTGTTTTGCATATACTCATACCTGAGTGAACTAAGCCAAATACTTTAAGGAACAGAATAGAAATGTTCCCTTCGTGCTTGTGAATTTCTCAGTGGTTGCTATGTCATTCAAGTGAAGAGTGTAACCTTCCCCTTTTTTTTGTTTAAAGATTTATTTATTTGAAAGTCTGAATTATGAAGAAAGAAGGAGAGAGAATTAGCTTCCATCTGCTAGTTAACTCCCAAGTGGCAACAATGGCCAGAACTGGGCCAAGCCAAAAGTGAAGAGCCAGGAGCTTCTTCTGGGTCTTTCATGTGTGGGAGGGGAGCCAACAACACTCAGGCTATCTTCTGCTGCTTTCTCCAGGCCATTAGCAGGGCGACAGACCAGAAGTGAAGCAGCCAGGATATGAACTGGTGCCTATATGGGACACTGCCATCACAGCTGGTGGTTTTACCTGCTATGCCACCTTGGCTGTTTCTGCTTTAAAGTAAGAGACTTAGAGAAATAAAACTTACATCTGAATTAACTTACCTACTCTGCATCCTGTAACACTATGTCTCTATAGTTTAAGTGGTGACAAACATGGTTTTACTTTTCTAGTATGTCTGTGTTAGAGAGAAGGGGACTGGCTTTGTGGCAGAGAAAGTCAAGCTGTTGCCTCTACCGTATCTTATGTTTCCTGCAAATGTACCTGAGACAGCAGATGATTGCCTAGGTGGGTGACCTAGCATGGATCTCCACTTCCTGGATTCAGCCTGTACCTGACCTGGCTATTGTGGCCACTGGAGGTGCAAACCAGCTGATGGAAGATCTGTCTCTCTCAATCTGCCTTTCAAATAAATGAGTACATGAATAAATCCTATTCAAGAGTTATAGAGGAATCAATACCCTTGTGATTTACCTACTTTCCTACATTTAGAGATAGAATCTCATAGGCAGACATGACAAGGTCCAGTGCCATGCTGCACTGTGCAGTCAAGGACATTTAAAGCTAGGAAGTCAATTTCTGTTTGGTGGATGTTCCTTCTGCCTGATGTGTACCTGTTCCATGGTCTGTCTGCATCATCTTACACTTCAATAACTATCGAAGACTCCTCCCAGGTTTGATAAGTGATGAGAAAGACTCACCCATCTTTTCATTTGGGTGTAAATTTGCCTCTGTACATATTTTATGCTTGATCTAAAGGCTTTGCTGTACAGAATTCACTGTAAGCTAACTTGAAGTAGAAAAAGTATGCACCCTACACTTGTAACAGGGTTTTAGGCATTCACAAGCAACTACAGTCAAATATCAGAGTTCTGAACTGTAAACAGTCAGGCTATCTTTGGACCTCATTTCTCTTGTCTGAATACCACTTCCATTTTGCTGGCTATTAAGGAAACTTCCAGGTGGTCCTGGTTGGTGGGGGAGGACACATTCTGAACTATGAAGCTTAATAGCAATTCTGAAATGCTGCTTGATTCTAGAACTGCAAATAAAGCCAAGTAAGGTCTACAAAACTAGATCTCTGTGATTCTGTCTTTTAACAGACTCAGCATATAATTATACTAACCATTGTGATTTATTACAGAAAAAGGATAAGAAATTAACAAGTAAAAAATGGACATGGGACAAGTCCAGCAAGTCCAGAGGAAACCAGGTCCAAGATCTCAAGTGTCCTCTCCTAGTGGACTCACATAAGACATAGGTCATTCCCTCACTTAGAAGTAAATTGTGACAACATATGTGACAGATGTCTACCAGGGAAGTCTATTAGAAACTTCCTGAAGATTATTCAGTACTGGCTACTTAGGCACCCTCTACTTTGTCTTTGCCAGAACATCTGTCCAGAAGAAAAGCACACGCTCAGTGCCAACCACATTGCTTGCATAAGCAGTGTAGGCACCCTAAACCATTTTTATCAGAGAATGCTGGGAATCTTTCTACAACCCAAGTTCCCAGATGGCAACCAGGAATAAGCCCAGCAATCGGGCTTTTCTAAGACATGAAGTCTCAAGCCTCCAGAGTTACATCTTCTGCACAGGAACTGATATAATCACCTCCACTTTACAAGAGAGGAAAGGGATGTTTAGTGCCCAGGATACACACTGGCAAGACAGGTGCCTCATGGTTTTGAAACACATGTTGTTAATCACTGGGCTATGTATTAAAGCACTGTTCTTCTCTACCAGGTACCACCTCCTACCCTGCCTGGAAAGCACTATTGGTTGAGCTGGTGAGCTTCATCAAAAGTAGCCAAGACATTCTGGAGGGTTTTTAAAACTCTTCCCCATCTCCCAAGAAAGACCTGTCCTTTTATTTTGCTTGCTTTGATTTTGCTTTGTTTCTTGAGATTGACTTTTATTTGAAAAGCAGGGTCAGAGAGAGAGAGAATGAGATACAAAGACCTATC